TCCACCCTCCCATCCCTCCATCCCCCACTGTGGAAGGTGCCTAGTTGCCCATCTGGGAAGAGAGGAGGAAGAGTTGGATAGAAGCCAAGGCACTTGGGTCGGGATTCTGAGGCCACCTTGCTTGGTGGTTCCTTCCCCTTCTCTCTTTCTAGTTTTCAGGGTCCTTTTGCTCCACCCAGATAGAAATAGTGGGCTAGACAAGGAGATGCTCTCAAATATTGGTCTCTGGCAGCTCTGTATCTCCCTAAAGTTTTCCTGAGTGTAGGCAGGTGGCGGCGGCGGCAGCAGGTGGTACCCTGTAGTGTCACAGTCCTACTGAATGCCTCTAGTAATGGGCCATGCAGCCTTGCAAGTGTTACAGATTTTGTGAAGACTTAGGAAGTTGGGATTCCTCAGTCCCTGGCTGTGGCTGGCATTTCAGCTTTCAGGCAGACCTACTGTCCTTAGCTCTTGACAGCAGCCAGTGTTACAGCTGACCTGAGGTGTCTGTGATCCTCAGCCCTGAAGACTTCACAGCTCTCTGGAACTCCTCTGTGGCCAGGGCCTTTCACAGACTTCGTTCTTGCCATCTCTCTGTTTCTGTCACCCTTCTTCCTGCCCTGGCCACTCTCTAAATATTCAGCTGCTCTTCTTCAGCTGTCAAGCAGCTAACTGCCTTGCCACTTTCATGGCCTGGCTGTCAGTTCCCCTGCTGTTTCTTCCCTTATGTCAGGCACTACTGACAGAAGCTAAGAAACTGGGAGAAGCTTCCTATTAGGCCTAATGTGCTGCACCAGAGAAGGAATGTGCCTTTAGGTGAGTAGATGAGACTGAGCGATCCTCTTAGACAGCCAGAGACCTCGTGTTTGGACCACTCATGGCCTGGCCTCTTTAGAACCAGTCATAGCCATAGAGTTTTACTTTTGGACCTATCACACCTTTGCTTCTGTAGAGCAGTCCTTTTGTACGGCCACCAGGGGGCGTGTCTCCTCTCGCGTAGATGGAGACAGACGTCTTAGCCGGGTCATCTAGAGTTCACCGTGCCTTGTAATCCAAACTGCTGGAAGCAGCCTGGGCCGAAGCTACTTTCAGGGCTGGCGTCATCAGCTGTTATCAGGAGCTGCCGTCATCAGGTGTTATCCTGCTCACTTTTGCCTACTGTGGAGACTTCAAGACCAGTTTGCAGCCTCCTGGCTGTTGACGCAGTTAATCAAGGCAGCCAGAGCAGCAAGGGAGAATCATAAGAGCTGCTAATGAGGGAATCTGATCACCCTATGCCCAAACTGGAAAGAGAACATCAAAAGTAGTGTCTAAGTGAGAACTTAAATCATTATCATCGACAGTAGTAGCGATTATAACAGTGTTTTAGCAGTTCTAACTGGCTAAGGGTTCCAGGGAGAAATAGCTCCCTGTTTGCCTTACTCCCCCATTTCTGTCCACTCTTTTTCTCCTTCCCTCCACCTCCCTTCTCCCCTTTTCCTTCCTTTCCTCTCTTTCTCTCCTTCCTCCCATCCTGGCTATAGGGAGCAGAGAAGTTAGTTAGAGTTGGGTAGGCTGGGACTTTCTGGAGACCAGAGGATGAATTGAAGGGACAGAGATGAAAACCAGGGAGATTTGGAAGGTGTGGTTGCACCTGGGGCTGATGAGAGGGGATAAGCTGTCAGCTAATAGGATCTATTGTGGTGAATCCCCCAGAGAGGCACGCACTGCACGGAAGGCTGGAGTTCTGGGGTGGCTCTGGTTCAAGATTAAAGAGCCAAGAAGGGAGGCTTAAGGAGCCTGGCTGCACAGCCAGGGCTGGGGTGACAGGCAGTCTTATAGGCCTCAGAATAAAGACGTAGCTGCACCTTACACTAGGGCAGAGAACCCACTTTGCCCCTCATCTCCTGTCTTCTCTATCCCACTCTCCTCCCAATTCTGTCTTGGTGAATACCACCTCGGAATCACCAGGTGACTTGACCAGGAACTGGAGGGCAGAGGAGATCTCAGTCAGGAAAACGGGTGTGTGTGTGTGTGTGTGTGTGTGTGTGGAACGGCTGGACCCAAGAGTGACTTTCTTTACGGCCGGTGTGGCCCCTCCCTGCTCTCCCTTCAGGGCGCACTTGGTAGCTCTTTCCTGATCCCTTTATCTGAGGCTGCAGAGCAGAACCCCACCGCTGGCACCTTCTTGGGAATGCTGCTGTGACCCACTGGAACCATGAGCCCAGCAACTCCGGTAAGGGATTCTTCTCTGGGACAGGAGGGAGTTGGGGCGGTGGTCCTTCACAAATAGGTGGTGCCCTGGTCACCGGCATTCTCTGTCTGCTCCTGCATAGCTGGGGATTTGAACTGAGCTAGTCAAAGTTGTGACACTGGAGGGGCAGATCCAGGAGACAAAATATTCCTCTCCTCAAATCCAGCCTCTGATCCATTACCACTGCATCCTAGGATCTTCTAACCCACTAGTCAAATGACCTAGCCTCCTGTCTCAAAAGTATCTCACCCAGGTAGTCACTGTACTGCGATGTCCAGGCTGCCACCCACTCCTTGTTATATCCTGGCAACTCTGAGCTTTGTCCCTTGCCAGTCCCCATCTCCCCAACCCCTACTCATCTTCTAAATGTACCAGACACCCCTGAACTTTCTACCAGCACTTACTTGGGGTTCTTAGGTCCACACTGGAGAAATGATACTGACCCTTCAGACCCCCCCCCACAGCCTCCTCTGAAGCCTTTCTGAACACCTTGGGCGAAGAGAGACTTCTTCCTGGTTGGCTACTTTTACCTTCATTCTCCTCTAGCAGACTGGGAAGGCAGGCTCCTACTGCCCAAGAGTGCTGTGGTGCTTTACACAGCTAGAGAATGCTACATCTAAAACCAGGACAGAGCCTGGCATCTCTGATATATACATACATACATACATATTTGGTCACAGTTTTGTTTTTGTTGTTTTTTTTTGTTTTTTTTTTTTTTTGTTTTTTTTTTTTTTTTTTTTGTAATGGGTTAATATGTAACCCAGGACAGCTTTACCATGGAGTCAAGGTTAGTCTGGTATTTTCATTCCTGTTATGTCAGCCTCAAAAGATGGGCTACCACACTCAGTCTTTTTTTCACTCCAGTAGAATTTCCCCTTAATTTTGTTTCTGGGGGTGTGTGTGGTTTTCTTCAGTTTGTAAAGGACTTGGGCTCTTTACATGGGACTAGCCTTGTGGGGCACACGACCATGGGTGTAAGCTGGGACAAGGGTGTTCAGTCCTTTGGACTTCAGGACAATGTCTCTTTTCTAGAATAACACAGTTCTTTCATTGATGGAGATTAGAGCTTCATGTATAGTTTGGGAAGCACAAAGTTGCTGAATATAAGCAATTTGGAAATGTTTCTGGTGATTATGGGTGTGGGACTCTCTTACATTTTGAATAAAATATGTAAAAATTAAAGTTACATTTATCTCTGTGTGTGTATGTGTGAGTGCACATGTGTTTATGTGCTTGTCTGTGCATCAGTGTAACCCTGTGCTTCTAAAGGTCAGAGACAACTGTAAAACTCAATTCTCTCTTTCCACTTTGTGGGTCTATGGATAGAATTCAGGTCATCAGGCTTGGTGGTAGGCACCTTTGGTTGCTGAGCCATCTTAATGTTCCAGAAAACTTCCTTTTCTTTATAATAATAATAATTATTATTAGGACTCTTGCTATGAGGCCCAGGCTGGCCTTGAACTCACGGAATCTTCTGTGCTTGAAGCGTCCTCGACACTGAGACTCCAGAGTAGCTGTGAGTACAGGCCACCATGTGCTATGTAAATTGACCTTGTCTTTGTTTTTGCTTCAGTACTGGAGATGAAACCTAGGGTCTAACCCATTATAGTCCAGCTTTATCTCTAGGCTTCTCTTCCTCTTTCTTCCTTTTTTTAAAATTTGAGATGGAGTCTAAGTTGCCCAGACTGACCTTAAACACAATCTGTAGCTCAGGCTGGTCTTGAACTTGTACTCCTCCTGCTTCTCAATCTCCCGGGTATCTTGGGATTATAGATCTATACAACCAGGCCCAGCTTCTGCTAAACTTAATGTCCTGTCCTTGGGTATCATGAGGGCAGTTTGTCCAGCTACCATCTATACGTGGCTCCAGACCTTTGGGGCATGTCCCTTTATCCTTCCTCCCTCCCCTTTCTGAGTCTCTTCTCAGAATGAGACCTAAGCTTTACATTCTTTCTGTTTTTATTTAAAATTTCTTGTTTTTAAGACAAGGTCTCGTTATGCAGCCCAGGAACTCTATTAGATTAGCCTGGCTTTGACCTTTGATGATCCTCAGCCTCCAGTACTTGCCTCTACCTCTTGAGGATTACAGGCCAGGCTTGCTCCATGAGACAAGGTGGCTTGGGATTCAATGGTCAGGAGAGGCCGGAAGGCAAATAAGCCATGGGATCCACCTCTCTTTCTCACCAGGACTGCCATACCGGCTTTTAAGATGTGGGTTCTGGGCATCTGAACTCAGTTCCTTGCCACATGTTTTTGTTTGTTTGTTTATGTTGGATGTCCTGAAACTCACTCTGTTTTGGCTAGGCTGGCCTTGTACTCAGAGATCCCTCTGCCTCTACCTCCCACTGCCCAGCCATCCACATGTCTACTTAAGAAAAGAAAGTATTTTATGTCAAGGACGGAGTGTAGTTAAGTACTTGGGACGTTCTGGAATACATCTTAATACCAAAAGGGCAAAATTATTTTATGAAAAATAAGTGGACAAATCAATGTCTTAATAGAAAAATAAGTTGGGTGTGGTGGGACACACCTGTAGTCCCAGCTGCTCAGGTCGATCATTTGAAGGGCAGCCATGGAAATATAGACAGATCTTTGTTTCAAAATGGAAAAGAAAAAGAGAGAGAAAGAAAATAAAAGCATATGTGCAGCCTCTTACCCCTTCTGGGATCAGCAGAGGACTTGCTGCTCCAGGCTGCTTCTGCGTAGGACTGCAGACTACAAATCCCAGCACGTCTCGGTCACTGAATTTCTCCACACCACGCCCCCTCCCTGGGTGTGAGTTGGGTCTGGAGGGCGGGGCCTGGGGGCAGTTAGGTCCCAGGCACAGCCTGGGGAGTGCAATCCCTCTAGCTCTCTGGGGTACACAAAGCGCAGTGCGACTGGCTGGGGTAACAGCTTCATCGAGTAGCGGGCATTTGTGGCAGCAGGTGTGGACAGGTGGGTGCATCCAGGGGAACTTGAGAGGGAATGTGCACTTGACTGTAAGATCTATGTCAGCTTGGAGAGGGGAATGAGCCAGAGGAGAAACACAAGAGGCCAAGGCTTCCACTCTAGGTGTGCCAGCCCTAGTTGCGCGGCAACAGGTGTGAGCAGGTGGGGGAAGGGCTGAGGCGCCTGCTTGTAAATAAGCGGTCCTTTAATAATAAGAGAAGCACCTGAACTCTAATCCAAGTTCCATCACATACAGGGATGTGTCGTTGCCCCTTCCGCCTCAGTTCTACCACCTGTAAAGTGAAAGTCTCCCGCTTAACCTGGCTGTTTGGGGAGGTTTGCAGTGGCTGGCAAACTTCGATGCCTTTTGGAATTACCTGAGGTGGGGGGCTTTAAAGACTAGCAGTGCCTCACCCCATGCCACCCCTCCCCAGTTATGATTCTAAGCTGGCGTGATCCTGCACATAGCGTGGTGGTTTTTTTTGTTTTAATTTTTTTGTTTGTTTGTTTTTAATTTTGTTGGTTTTGGTTTTTTGAGACAAGTCTCACTGTGTAAGTCTGGCTGGCCTGGAACTCATTATGTAGACAGGGTCAGCCAACAATTCACAGAGCTCTGCCTGCCTCTGCCCAGTGCTAGGATTAAAGGCTATGCTGCTACTCCTGACTGGAGAGAGGCTGAGGTGGCTGGGTGTGGATCCTGGCACCATTGTTTTGTAATCAAGGAGGTCTATGTCGCTTGGACATCTCCAAGCACCAGTTTCTCTGTCTCTAAAATAGGAATGATGGCAAGGATGGCTGGGAAGCTGAAGTGAGGTGAAGGCAGAAAAGCGTACCAAGCACCAAGCTGTGCTCAGTGACACAGCTGTTATTTTATGTCCTTCAAAAACGGCCCCTGTGGGTTTCCAACCTGAGAGAGGCTCTTCCTGTCATGGAAATTCATTGCTCTGACTCTGATATTTTGTGCTGGTCCCATTTCCAAATCCTATTTTCTAACATCTTATGAGCTTTAAGAATTCCTTGCTCTCATCTTTACCTGCCTCATCCAGGCCAGAGGAGCTTGGAGCAGGGACTTGCCAAGGTTCTGGAACTGAACCTGGCCTGAATCCCAGCCCCCCACCCCCATTGGGTGGCTGCCTGCTGACCCCAGTGGGACAGTGTGCCCATTCTCTGCAGGAGCAGAGCCTTGGGGGATGGGGCAGAGGGTGCCTGGCCTATGTTTGTTTACTGACATAGCCTGGCATGGCTCCAGGATGGCTCTCTAGGGAGGACAGGGCTGGGGGCTTTCCTTCTCAGGAGTTGCATTGAATTGTGAGGTCTGTGTGTCCTGGCTCCTCTGACAGGTCCCACCCGACTCCACCCTGGAAAGTCCTTTTGAAGAAATGGCCCTGGTGAGGGGCGGCTGGCTGTGGAGACAGAGTGAGTGATTCTGGGTCAAGTCCTTGCCTGCCTTGCACCTGATTCTGGGTCAGGGAGGAGGGAAGCAGTGCACTCTACACATCATGGCCAGTATTTCTCCCTCTTTGTTCATGCTCTTCTGGGCCAGCTAGATTCCCCTCCTTTGAGGAGCCCCCTCTGCCCCTGGCACACTAAGCTGGGTCAGAGGTTCCCATCTCACTTCCCACACTAACTTACAACACAACTGTTTTCACCTATCAGTATTCCCGCCTCCCTTCCCCATTCCATACTGGCTCCAAACTGTAACCCTTGAGGTACACAGACTAAGTTTGATACCTTGTGTGTCCATAGCCGCACAACCCTTGCGGGACACAGACCAAGACCCAGAGCAAAATGAGATACATCTCTTTTTCAGAACCATAGCTCCAAGAAGCCCTCTTTCTTTTGGGGCAGGGGTTGTGAGGCATTGTGGAATACAAAGTTCCATGAAGCTCTAGTTGGCCCCAAACTCACCACATGGCCAAATATAACCTTGAACTCCTGTCTCCACCACCTGAGTGCTGGGATTACAGGCATCATGCCTAATTTTACTTATTTTCACTCTGAGATGGGTCTTTCTCAGTAGTCCAGACTAGCCTTGAATTCCCTTCAGCCTTCAAGTGCTGGAACTCTGCACCTGGCTAAGAAGCCCTTAAATGTTTTGCACATCCTATTACCATTTCAGTTGTAAAATGTCTAGAGTCACAATGACACCAGCCCTCCCACCCCCCATTATCCAAAGTGCTGTAAACTGAAGAAGAACTGGGTTGGAGACCTTTGGGCTGGGAGCCGCCAAATCCCTCACTCCTGTCCATTCTCAGTTCATTTGCCAGACACCAGTCCGGCTGGGGTTTAGGACCTCATGTCCCCAATGCAGATCCCCAATGTGGTGTAAGAGAAAGAGACAAATGACTGTCACTCAAACCAGAGGTAGGAGACAAGATAGGGAGAGGCTTCTGGAAGGGAGAAGTCTTTGCCTTTGGAAGCTCCCACAAGTTGGTATGAGTGGCCAGTCACATCCAACACTTCTATTGAGCCTCTGCTATGTGTCAGACCAGTGGCTGGCAGGGATGTAGAAAAGAGGCCTTGTCCTCATTTCAGAGAGTAGATAGACAAGAAAAAAGTGTGGGGGCCAGAGCTGAGGGGACGTGGGGAGTTCATATGGGGCTCTTGCCCCTAGCAGGGTCAGGGTTCAGCTTCCCTGGTGGGTCCGGAATATCCCACAGGCTCCATCCTTCGCCGCTGGAAGCGGAACTGGTTTGCTTTGTGGTTGGACGGCACGCTGGGTTACTACCATGATGAGACGGCCCAGGACGAGGAGGACCGTGTGCTTATCCACTTCAATGTCCGAGACATAAAGGTCGGCCAAGAGTGTCACGGTGAGCAGAAGTACTTCTTTGATGGAACTCTGCCCATGCTCAGGGTCTGTCCTGTCTGTGTCTGAGAACTGCAATTGGAAGGCTCTTGGTTGCTTTCAGAGGGCTCCCACACATACTTCTGGGCCTTTGCCAACTGTAGGTCAGTTAGCTATGAGTTAAGGACTGGTCCTTGGTTGAGTCCTACCCTATACCCTGTGCTGTACCCCAGAGGTGAGTCCAGATAAAATGCCTGCTGGTACTTGAGAGTGGATGAAGATGAAGGAAGCACAGAGAAGTGATGTAATTGTCCTAGAGTCACACAGTGACTCTAATGCTTCAACCAAGACTGAAGCCATAGTGTGATACAGTAACTGAGAGATGCACTGGGAAGCCAGTAATCTGGAAAGGTTGGAAGGGTTTGGAGGGTACTGCAGACTCCCAGGAAAGTATATGGGATCAGAGGTTAGCAATGACCAGCAAACTGGACCCCAAGAAGACAATCCCTACCACTGGGTGTGGTTTCCCAGGGTGGGGGCCTCTAGGGCCTATGTTTCTGGAATCCTCATATGTGTGTGTTTTCTTTCAGATGTGCAACCCCCAGAGGGCAGGAGCCGAGACGGCCTGCTGACAGTGAACCTACGGGAGGGTTCCCGCCTGCACCTGTGTACAGAGACTCGGGATGATGCCATGTGAGTGGATTCATGGGATGTGTGGAGTGGGGTATCTGGATGCAACCAAAGAGGGGGTTAAGACCAGTTAGGAAGGTTTTATCATACAGGCTGAGCAGAGGACTACTGGTAATTAATTGGTGAATACACAGAGAACTCAGGGATGGATGCACACTTGCTTTGGGTGCTAGGCCCCTGGACATTAGGAATCAGATATTTGGCAGCCTGTAAAGTGATTCCCTCACCCAGGCCAATTGAAAGGAGCAGGCATACCCCGTGACATCTCAACAGACCTTGTAAGAGGTGCCCTGGTGGTAAGACTCTGAGCTGAGGGGTCAGTTTAGACCTGCTGTTAGAATCAACTGGTAGTGACTAAGCTGGACACTCCAGTATTAGATGCAGCTCATCCTGGGAAGCTGAGGACATTGTCCTTAGTGCCATCTATTTCCTTACATTCTTCCCCTTCCTACCCTAAGCCTGAGCAGCTTGGCCTCTGCCCTGGAGAAGAAGGAAAGAGATGGGTGTGTGGCTGTGGGGGCAGCCAAGATCTGGGCAGATAGCATAGAGCTGCCTTGTCCACCCCAGCCAGATGCCATGGCAACCAACAAAGGCCCAATTGTCCTGTATCCACTGGGCATTCCTAAGGCATGGGTCATGGCTCTGGGAAGCTGTGCAAGTCAGAATGTGGAGGTGGGTTGTGGCAAGCATCACACAGACATCAAGACTCAGATGGCCCCTAAGAGACACCCCTAACCTCAACTGGGATAACTGAGGGGAAAAGGGGGGTAATGATGGTACACACCTGTAATCCCAGAACTCAGGAGGCAGAGACAGGCAGAGCTCTGAGAGAGTTCCAGGACAGCCAGAGCTACACAGAGAGACCCTGTCTCATAAAATCAGAAACAACAAAAAACAGACAAAGCAAAAACCAAACCCAACCAGCAACAACAAAGAGTTATTAGCTTACCTCAGGGACCATCCATGTGACTAGCTGCTTTTGTCTGCCTGAGAGCTGGGAGAGGTGGGGGCTCAGGGCTGGGTTGGGGACAAGCATCTACAAGGTGGGAGCCCCACATGCCTACCCTGCAAATCTTTCCTCATGATCTCATGGGTTTGCTTTGCAGAGCTTGGAAGACAGCACTGTTGGAGGCAAATTCCACCCCGGTGAGCCCCCCACTTTCTTCCCCTCCCCCTTGCCCCACATGCCATGGAATCATGGGTGACTCAGAGTCGGTCTCTGCATATTAGTTCAGTCTAGAATGTAGACTCAGTCCCCTGTGGAGAAGGGAGAAGTCAGCAGGTGCTCCCAGGAGGGAGGGAGAGAAGCCTCCATGAAGACTCACTGGAGAGTTGCAGGGGAGTTAGGAAAGGGGGGTGCATGTGTCAGTCATGATGTCACTCAGGACAGTCCTGTGAGGCAGGGTTATTGTTCTCTTGGCACATGGTTAAGACTAATGCACACAACAGATATGTATTGGGTTCTTAGTGTGTGTCCGTACCATGCCAGGGGCCAGGGATCAGACCAGAGGATGCAGGCTCTCCCTGCCTGCATTCAGCCTAGAAGGGGCCAGATATAAAACAATGACTTAATTAATCACTCCATTTTGATATCAGCCACTGCTCTGGCAGAGGCATGCAGCATGTGACCCTTTTGGTGGTCTAATCCAGGTATGAGTTCACTTGAAGCTGAGACTTGAAGGATAAACATAAATTGGGTGAAAGGTGGGGGCTGTGGTGAAGGGAACAGCTTTCCAGGTAAGAGGGAGCAGTATATGCAAAGGCCTGAAGGGGTTAAGATGTCAAGGTGGCTGAACGGGGTGAGAAGTGGTGGGGAAGGAAAGCTGGGGTTCAGGCCCGTGCCTGTGCTAATAATATCATATTGATTATTTTACTTTTTACTTAGAGCATCATTTTGAATCTCAGGCTAGCCTTGAACTCATCATGCAGCCCAGACTGGCCTCAGACTTGCAGTGCTCCTCCTGCATCGGTTTTCCAAGCGCAGGAAGTACAGGCATAAACTACCATGCCTTGTTCTGAGAATCCTGGTGTCTACTAAGGGCACCAACAAGCCATTGACAGCCTTTAAGCAGAAGGAAAGAATGGGCAGACCAGATAAAACCTGTCTTAAAATCTTTGAAATAATTTATTTATATGTATTGTAGGTGTGTGTTCAGGTGTATGGAGGTCAGAGGTCAACCTTGGGTGGTGGTCCTCAACAGCCAACACTTTTTTTTTGGTGCTTGGTTTTTGGAGGCAGGGTGTAACAGCCCTGGCTGGCCTTGAACTCACAGATCTAAATCTCTCTTTGCTTCCCAAGTGCTGGGGTTAAGGGTGAGTGTGCCACCCCTTGCCTGGCTCAGCCATCACCTTATTTTTTTGTGACAGGGCTACTCACTGGGACCTGGGGCTCACCAGTTTAGGCTGGCTGGCCAACAAGCCCCAGGGGTCCTCCTGTGTTTGCTGGGATTAGGTACATGCCACCATGCCTGCTTTTCACAGGTATGCTGGGGGTGGAAGTCAGGTTCTTGTGCTTGCAAGGCAAGCACTAACTGAGCCTTCTCTGCAGTCCCAGCCTTGGTTTTTCAAAAAGCCATCCTGAAGCTGGTGAGGCAGTGTGCACTTGTCATCCCAGCATGGGAGGCAGAGACAGGACAACTCCAGTCTTGGGGTCAGTCTGAGCCAGAGAGCCAGACCCTGTCTAAAAACAGGCACAAAAAGCCCAGCTGGTAGGAAAGGAGTGAGCAGCAGAGGGTGAGAGTGAATACCCAGGGGCCGTCTCCCAGCAACAGGCTGCAGTCTGGATTAAGCCTTACTGGCTGACAGGCTGAGCAGCACAGGCATTTAGGAGATGCAGGGAAGAGTGCTTAGTGACTGACCATTGGTCACTAAGGAGAGGGTTTGAAGCATGGCCTGAGGCCAGACTCCAGAATCTATGCTTGCTGCTTCTGCCTGTGGCACAGTTGAGACTTCTCTCACCTGCAAAGTGTCTACTGGGAAATAACAGAGAAGACAAGACAGTTAGAAACCCTCTTGAGTATACCCACCTGCTGAGGGCCAGACACTATGCTAAGCCCCTGGCATGGTTATGCCATTCATCCTCCAGCAAGGGCTGGGCTTGGTGGCAGTTGGTTTATTAGTCCCACTTTACAAATGGGGAAGCTGAGGTTTAGAAAGAGGAGATGGCTTGTTCAGAGTCTCACAATCTTAAGTCACTGGAGGAGCCTTCACTGGAGACTTGGTTAGTGGACTTAGTGAGGAAGCTGGCATTGGTAGCTATGTGAGCAGAGGCAGGGAAGATGGATGTGTATGTGTGCATGTTTGCAAATGTGTGCATCCAAGGGCTGGAGAATAGCCTGGTTGGGAGTGACATTGGAGAGATGACCTCTGAGGTCATCAGGTTCAGGTCATGAAGGATCTCAAAGTCTAGTTGGGGAATAGCTTTTTTTCCGAGGCTATCAGAGCGGTTGGGGACATTAACACAGAGTGCTGCAGTCAGACATTGGGGGCCACCTTGGGTTTTCAGGTGGGAGGTGGTTGTGGGAAACTAGAAATAAGGAGAATCAAGAATCATCAGGGGGAGGAGCCAGGTTGGCTAACCATCCTCTGAGCTCCAAAGCCGCCAAGCCTGCCCAAGTAAGTGGTACTGAAGACAGCAGGAGGAAGGAGGTGAGGGCTGACCGTTCTGCACTCTATGACTCTATGAAGCTGTCTTGATTCCCCTCTGCCTGCCCTACTGACCCCTCACCTCTGCCTGGACCTCCATGCTCCCTCTCTACCTGTCCATCTGCCTGCTGTGCTGACCCCTGACCTTTGCCTGGCCCTCCATGCCCATGTTCCATCTTTTTGCTCCCAGATACACAGGCCTCCAGGCTCTGGCTTACTGGGGCTGGTGCTTGTGTTTGTTTTTGTATTTGTGTCTTTCTGTCTGTCTGTATGTATGTTCATATTTGTGTCTGTGGACTTCTCTGTCCCTGAGCCTATGCAGGAGTGACCTGTGCTTTGTACCTCTATGTGCCTCCCACTCTGGGAGAAGGCTCATGGGCATATAGTCACAGAGGAGGCTAGAGAGTGCATCCCTCCGTGCATGAAACCAAGGTGGGGGAGCCAGAAGGAGGCCATTTCTCCTTCCTGAGTGATTATTGACACCCCTTTCCCCACCTCTGACCATCCCCCAGCATATGAACAGCTGGCACAGGACTCTGGTAGGGGCCTAGTAACATCTCCTAGTCCCTTTAGTTGTTAAGGGCATCTGACATCTCCCTCCCTCTCCCTTCTTGGGTTTCTGTGGCTGGAGCAGGCCCCAGCTGGAGCCACCGTCCCACCCAGGAGCCGTCGGGTTTGCCCTAAGGTCAGGTGTACGACCCTCTCCTGGAAACCCTGTAAGGTTGAGAGGCGGATCTGGGTAAGTGCAAGCTCAGCCCTTCCTGCCTCCTTTCTGGCCATCAGGATAAGCCTCCAAAGCTACCTGTCCCATCATTTCCCTGTTCATAGATGTCAAAGGCTCACTTCCCCTTCCTCACTGGACCACAGCTGGCTTTCAAGGCCCACAGCTGGCTTTCAAGGCCCACAGTATCCTCCTAGACTTGCTTGCTCCTCACTCCTGTGCTTGCTCTGCTCTCTGCTGCTGCTGCTGCTGCTACAGTTCTCACCTCCTCCTGCTGATACCCATGCTGTCCTCTGCTTCCCAAACCTTTAGCTTTGTTCACCTGGCCAGTGGATGCTCATCTTTAAAGAACTATCTCAAAGGCTGCCACCTCCTCAGTGAGAACTTCCCAGAGCTGCAGGCACTGCCACTTAAGACATAGACCACTGTCACTGGTTTTTAGCACTGGCTTCCTTCTGCCTGGCCTGAGTCACTTTATTCCTGTCTTTGACCCGCTGAAACAGGAACTTCCTCCAAGGCAAGGACCAGGACTCATTGGCTCTGCCCAGTATGGGGCTAGGTATCAGCATATGCTTAGTCAGTGCTCAGTGATGGGAACAGTCTGTTTGTACTCCCTTCATAAGGAACTGGTACAAATAGGTCACTGAATGAGAAAGAAAAGACAGGAAGGGACTTAGTTTGGATCTGCCCTTGCCCTGGGTGTTTCTTGGAATCAGGATGTAGTAGTTACTTTTCTTATCATGATGAACAAATATCTCACAAGAAGCAACTTAAGGAATGAGAGATTTATGTTGGTTTATACTTTGAGGGTACACTCCCATGTGTGTATGTTTGTGGGAGTATAACAGTGAGAATATGAGGCTGCTTGCTCACATTTAGCCAAAGAGGAATGCCAGTGTCCGGCTGGCTTTTTCATTTACCCTTTTTATTTAGTCTGGAATTCCAACCCATACCATAGGGTGGTACTGCCCCATTCAGGAGGGGATCTCTAGAAATCAGGACAGAGGTATGTGTCCCAGGTGATTCCAAGTACAGTCAGCCAGCACATAGGTTCTGGGTCTCAACTACTTCGTTGTTCCTAGGACTCAGCATAACACCTGGCCCAGTGCTATGTGAGTGAACATGGAAGCTTGTGGTCTTATCATGTGGTCAATTACAAACTCTTTTCTTGCTCATTGATGCTGTGTTTTAGAATTGCTTAGGGACTTACATGACAGCAACACATGTTGGTATTCTCTGTGCAGTGGAACTTCCTAAGTGGGGTGGGGCCTAGAAACCGTAGTATATTTACATACATATAAATGTTTCTGTGGTGTTGGGGATTGAGCTCAGAGCTTCACACATGCTAGGCAAGCACTGCTTCCAACATTCAACTATATATACCCCTAGTCTGGAAATTTGCATGTTCAAAACTAACTTGGTATTGGTTTTGTGTCTCAGTGGAATACATGCTTACCATGAGGGGCTGGATTGATCCCCAGCATTTCCTAAGGGGTGAGGCTTCTGGTGGTTGCAGCATTTAGAACAACTGAGCCCAGAAGTACTTGGTCAGTTAGCAGATGTAGTTTTGCTAAAGTCTCCCAGGATTAATGAGAAACATGCTCTGAGATGTTACTTAGTTCATCACAGAGAGGCCTGCAACTTCAAGTGGCAATGCCTAAAACTGGAATTGAAAGACCATAAACCTATGAACACAACAGTTTTAGATGAGACCAGAATGTTATTTACATGTAACACACTGATTGGACATCACTGTCTCCGCCCACAGGAGGGGCTGGGCCCTAGGAGAAGCCCTAGGGCTTCTGTTCTTCAGTAGGTCTCTGGGGTGACCAGCAGGTTGCCAGGTACTCTGAGTTTTCTTCTGGGCATCCCAGAGCTGGAGGGACAGGAGCCCTGGAGAGACATGAGGTTGTATTTTCCACCCACTCAAGAGTCTCAAGGAGGCCAGCTCACTGCAGCTTCAGGGCAGATTCATGTAGTAATGTTGATTCCCTGCCCTCCTTTGAGGATTCTTGAGTCTTCTCCAGTCTGACTTCTCCCTAACCATTCCTTTGAAAAACACATCTCCCCTACCAAGATCACTCTAGTGTCCAAGTTAATAAGGCCAAGGGCTTACTCTCTTGGCATCGGCCAATATGTCAGACGAGCATACTGAGAAGATAAAATCCTAAGACCTGGTGGCCTTGTGAAGGGCCAGTGTACAAAGACAAGAATGCCAAGAGATGGAGATGTATCTCGTGGCACATGCCTTCCTAACACGCATAAGAAAATGCTGGGTTTGGTGTTATGGGCCTATAATCCTAGCACCCAGGAACTGAAGCAGGAAGTTTGTGAGTTCAAAGGCAGCCTGGGCTGTGTATCACTCACTCACTACCCCCAAAGAGCAAAGGTTCTAGAGCTAGGCCTAGTGGTGTATTCCTGTAACCCCAGAACTTGGGAGGTAGAGGCAGGAAGATCAGGGGTTCAATGTCACCCTCATCTACAGAGTTCAAGTCCAAGCTAGGCTGCATGAAATCCTGTCTAAAAATGGAAAGTTCTTGCCATGACAGCATGAGGACTCTTGAGTTAGACCCCAGAACCCATGTGAAAACAGTGGTGTTCGATACAATCTCAGTGCTGGGGAGGTAGAGACAGGAGCATGCTGGGGGCTTGTTGGCCTGGTAGTGAGGGTCAACCAGCAAGTTCCAAGTTCAGTGAGAAACTATCTCAACAATAAAGTAGAAAGTGATTAAGAAAGACATCTTGCTTCAACCTCTGACTTCTGCATGCACACACACCTCCACATGTACAAAATGGTAGAAAGGAGGAGAAACCCCTTAAGATGCCTGTATGATTTCTTGGTTCAAGTGCATGGTGCTGGCATTTACAGACAAAACAAGGCTGTGAGATGGAGAGCTAGCACAATCTATTTGTGTTAGTAAAGTTAGACACATAAAACCCTTTAAAAAAAGATTATTTATTATATATACAGTGTTCTGTCTGCATGTATGCCTGCATGCCAGAAGAGAGTACCAGATCTCATTACAGATCTCACACATGGTTGTGAGCCTCCATGTGATTGCTGGGAACTGAACTCAGGACCACTGGAAGAGCGGTCAGTGCTCTTAACCGCTGAGCTATCTCAGCGTTTTTGGTTTTTTTGAGACAGGGTTTCTTTGTTTAGCCTTGGCTATCCTAGAACTAGATGTGTAGACCAGGAGGATGGCCTCAAACTCACAAAGATCCATCTGTTTCTGCCTCTTGAGTGCTAGAATTAAAGGTGTGCACCTACACCACCACAGGCTGGAGCTTCTAAAGAGAATTGGGCCATTCTGGTGTGGACCCTCCAGGTCTGCTACACCCCATGAATAAAGTGGCAGGTTTGGATCGGCAGTTACTGTCATGCAGGATCCCCGGCTGGTGATATAAATTGAAGGCCTTGTCCTTAAGTAGCACACATCTGGGGAGCAGGCAGAAAGGTTAAGACAAAGGGCAAGGAGATTATCCAAGTCACAGAGAACCCAGGAAGAAATGCTTCTGAGACCAGGAGGACTTCTGGAGCAGGTAACTTTTGAGCTAGGCTCTGGGAGGCTAGTAGAAACCTGAAGGGGAGGGCAGCACTCCCACCTCCTCTGTGCCTCAGCCCACGGCACTGGGTCCTTGGTGCTGTGGTGATGCCTGTCTTTAAGGGTCATAGGTAGTAAAGAGGACCCACTCTGTAGTAGATGCTTCATAATCGTTATTTCAATGCTCTTCCCAACTCTTCCTTTCTTTTGCCCCAGTCCTCCTCTAATTCATGGCTAGGACTTGAAAATAGTTCTCTTCCTGTGGCTAGAAGAGCAATCAGCTAGTTTTATAGTGAGAGAACTATAGTTGTTAGGCCTATAAAGGGAATTTGGGAGCCATGGAAAATCTGAGCAATGTAGGAGGCCAAGGTAGGTGAAAAGGTATCACTGGGAGCTAGATGTAAAAGCTGAAGTTTTAGAAGAAGGGTTATGGTCTCGATGGGGAGACAGTGCCTTTTCTGTCAACTTTCTGGTACCCGGGAAGGAGGGCAGGCAGCCACAGGAGAATGATGGGGTCAGGACCAAACCCAGACCTGGAAGTTCCTAGGCATTTGACCTGACTGGACTTCCCAGGTACGCGTCTACAGCCCATACCAGGACTACTATGAAGTGGTGCCCCCCAACGCGCACGAGGCCACATATGTCCGCAGCTACTATGGGCCGCCTTATGCAGGTAAGCACCCCTGGCCTACCCCTTTGCCCATCACAATCCTGTATCAGACCTTGTCCATGGCCTATTAGTGAAGACTAAGCTTTGACCTTTTAGGGAACATGTATTTTTCAAATCCCACCAGTAGAACCCTCTGGATCCCAAGATTCAAAACAGCCATCCCTGCTGCTCTGATCTCCCAGCCGCCCTGTGCCCGGCCCACTCAGCCAGACAGCCCAGCAATGACATTCCTGTGCTGCTGGCGACCCCAGGTGGCTATTTCAGGAATGGCAACAACCTCCTTCCTAGTCTCAAGATCTTGGTTACTAGTGTCTATCCCCAGGGGCCCAGGGATCCTGAGGTTTCCTGTAGCATAGTCCCAGCAAACCATATTCACTGAGTAGCAGTGAGTAAGTTGAAGTGGCAGGTCTCAAAGTCTCAGTTTCTCTGGGGAGAAGAAAGGTTATACCTTAACATGGGATTGGATTAGGATCACAGGTTGACTCTGACCTTTTGGTGGTTCTTACAGGCCCTGGTGTGACTCATGTGATAGTGAGAGAAGATCCCTGCTACAGCTCGGGAGCCCCATTGGCCATGGGCATGCTTGCTGGGGCTGCCACAGGAGCTGCCCTAGGCTCACTCATGTGGTCACCTTGCTGGTTCTAAGCCCTGGGGCTCTGACCTCTGGATGTGCATGTAGAAAGCAAGACCCTTTTCTTCCTGCTATCTACCATTTAAACCCTGCCTCATTTTGACATTCTCCTCTCCATTAAGCTCTCTACACCTAGCCTATCCCTCCTACCACTTAGCCTCCTTCCTCTCAGAGGAAACTAACATCTTAGGCAGACTGATGCCCCCTGTTGCCAGACACCCCCATAAATCACATACATTTGGTTCCAAGTATCTGAGGGATCGCAATCACAAGTAAGCAACAAAGCTAGTTATCAATCTGAGGACACATAGGGGCAAGGAGCAAGGCAGGAGGTCTGGGTGCTGTTGGCAGCAAGAATGAGCAGAGGACATCCTTCCATGTCCAAAGAATCAAAGAATAGAGTTGGCTTGGGGTTGAGGCAGGGTTTGGACTATTGCGTCCTCCAGGCTAAGGAGCTTGCTGGATAAAGATGATAGGAACTTTTTATGGATTTCAACTATAATGAGTATCTTGCCTGTTTTGTCAGTACTGGCACAAATCATTACTCCACACATTAAGTTTGGCACCTTCTTCCCACTACTAGCTTCTCTGTGATAGTTGAGCTAACTAACCCCTGGGTTTCCTGGCTGTGGGATAGGTGAGCTCCTTGGGACCTCCAGCCTTAGAAACTCGCTTCCATTAGGAAATGCCTTTCTGATCCCAGGAGCTCAGCTCTCTGAGGCTTTTTCTCTTCCTTCACTCTGTGGGAGGTGGCATTATTTCACTCTGGGGCCTAACCCACCTTGGCAACAGCCTGGGGAACCCCTCATGTGCCTGCCTGTAGGTGGCAAGCAATCTCTCCATTAGATCCTGTTCCAGACCTTTCCACTGCCGTCTCAGTTGCCAACAGAAAAGCTAGAGTGCCCACTAATGTTCCCCATAGATGAGGGAGGGCTCCATTGGCTCAGCTGTAGACTCTAATAAAGACATGACTGGCTCCCAAACTGGCTCTGGTTGTTTTGTTTCTCCAGGAGGATCTATTTCCTCAGGACATTTTTGTGGCCCTCCATTTACTGATAGAGTGCATTATGAAGTTGGATGGAATTGGTGACAGCATGTGAGCTCAACAATTTGGGACTACTCATTTTTAGACCTTGTTTTTCCTACCCAGTAACATGGCAGATGGAAGTTGGCCATCTCTGAAGACTTAAAAGGAGAGGCTATGCCAGGGTCTCTGTTCTATGCCCTGAGCTGACAGATAACCCAGAGCTGGCACTGCGTGCTGATGTTAGAATATTTGTGTTATGTGTGCATACATGCATGCCAGGTCAACAGCCATTGTTTTTATCAATATTCACCTTGTTTTTGACATTTTTCACGGTTTGGCTAAACTGACTGGCCAGTAAACATCAGGGATCCTCTTGCCTCTACCTTCCCATGGCTGAGATTTTCCACAGTATATTCCCCACCTCAAGTAGAACCAATTAATTGTTCTCATAGAAATCTGGTGGCTAAAGACAAACAGAACCTGCCTCAGGCTTCTGGAGGCTGTCAAATGGCAGAACTCCCTAATAAAAGTGATTTAAGCCAAAGAAAGGAAAACACAAGGCGAGCAGGACTAGAAGCTAGATTCAAGAATTGAAAATGAGACAACACCTCTAACAGAAGAGGCTGTCATCTGTCTCAAGCATAGGCCCTGAGAATGACCATATATTGTGGGATATCTGTACACTGTGTGAAAATATATTGCTGTGACTGATGTAATAAGAAGCTTAACAGCCAATAGCCACACAGGAGGTATAGGTGAGAACTCTGGGAAGAAGGCGGGGTGGCCAGCCAGGGACTGAGAGAAGACATGGAAGCAGCAGGATGGGCAGTACATGACAGAATGTAGATAAATAGAAATGGGTTGATTCAAGTTACAAGAGCTGCTGGGACAAGCCTAAGCTAAGGTTGAACTGTCACAGTAAGTCTCCACGCTGTTATTTGGGAGCTGATACAACCATGTACCAAGCTGAGCAGAGGGGTAAAATCTTACACTGAAGAGTTCCACGACCCATAGGGCCAATCCTCTAAGCCTCATCCCATTGCAGTATCTTATCTGTTTTCATCAACTCTTCTTTCTCGTCACAATTGTAGAGCACTAATGCTAGCTCTGAAGACAGCTGAACTAATAAGTTCTCTGGCCTGTGACCTTTATTTTTGTAATGGGGCAGAGGGGCAGGAGAGTCAGATGTTGCTGACCAAAGTCAGATTATTTCCTTTGTTCTGTAAATGGTCAGAAAGTGAATACTTCAGACTTTGGGGCCATACGACCTGTTTTATGTCTGGAGAGATGGCTCAGAGAGCACTGGCTGTTCTTCCAGAGGACCTGAGTTCAATTCCTAGCAACTACATGATGGCTCTTAACTGTAATGAAATCTGGTGCCCTCTTCTGACCTGCAGGGATACAGAACACTGTATACATTAAAAAACAAAACACACACACACAACAAAACACCCCCCAAAAAACTGTTTTAAGTGTTCAACTGTATCTGAATGGTTTAAAAGTATGCCTGAGTTCCAATAAAGCTTAAGTTTATTTATTTTTAGTTTGTCAAGATAGGGTTTCTCTGTGTCATTCTGGCTGTGCTGGAACTCACTCTACAGACCAGAGTGTCTTCAAACTCAGGATCCACTTGCCTCTGCCTCCTGAGTGCTGGGATTAAACGTGTGTGCTACCACATCCAGCTAAAGTTTAAGTTTAAAACTAGCAATGGTCTAGATGTGATTAAAAGCCCTGCTTGCAAGGTTATGCATCACCCCAATCTAAGACAAAAGTTTTGCTCTGTAACCCATGCCTACCTTAAACTCACAATCCTACTGCCTCAGGCTCTTGAGTGCTGCATTTACATGTATGCATCACTCACTGCTAAAAAGCCATTCCTTGCCTAACAGCAATACAATCTCCTCACCAAGTTAACATCACAGAGTACAGATGGTATAACTTATTCACAAACCTAGGCTATAAAGTCTGTGTGTGATATAGTCTACTCTCTGCTGGTATCATAATCAACAGAACACCACAAGCTTAAACACAAAAGAACAGTATGACCAAGAGACATAGTAACCACATGTATAAGGATCTGGCTGGTCTAACATTTGAATTTTTTTTTGGCTAAGCAGAACTACGTTTTAAAGTAACAGAAAGTACAACATCTATTATTGCAATTATGTACTGTATATAACTGTATGCCTCTGCTTATATTTGACTGAAAACAAAACAGATTATACTAACATTACCACAGATCAGACATTTTTGTGCTATTACCCAACATCATTTTTTTTAGCTCAGCTGTAACTGTGTAAGACTTTGTTTGATATATGGTCCATCACTGACCAAAATATCACATCTGGTGCATGACTGTTTATCCTACTGTTGTCACAGTAAGGGCTGTCTCTCAAGTTGCAACCCCCTTTTCATACTCCTGAAAAGATTTCAGGCTTCCTGCTTCTTCCCCACATCTGTTCTTGCTATTCATTTACTTATTTTACTTCAAGTGAATTTTATAGCTCTAGGAGGGAAGAAGCATATGCATACTCAGCACACTGGCAGGAATGGGAAACCAAGTTAATAGCTGTTTTCTTGTGTTTTATTTATATGTATTTGGCAGCAAAATTGTGTTTAAAAAAAAAAAATCTAGACTATGAACACACTTTACTGCTTCAGCTGAAGAACCCCAAGCTAAATAAAAAGAGCAATATGAAAAGCAGCATACTGGTTACTTTAAAAAGTAACATAAAAAGAATCAAATGCAACAGTGTAGGAAGATAATCACCGCCCCCCAGTCACAATTCCTTCAAATAAAGAATGTGAACCATCTGCCATATTTAATTGATATTTATTTCAGGACATGCCATGTCAAAATAAAACAAAAGAGTCAATCCTTGCTTTTAACAATAATATGTATTATAAAAGCACTTTACAATACCATCCCATCTTTGAGTATAAGTTACAGGGTATGTGGGCTAATGATTATCTGAAAGTATTTCTCTATTCAGATCCATAATCCAAGTGCTCTCCAAGTATTTATTACAAGGTGACAGTAAGTGAGAGGAGGAGGAAGAGGAGAGGAGGGGAGAGTTGGGTTTTCCCAGTTAAGGATTGTGTTGCAATGAGGAGGTGAGGAAGTGTGAAGTTACTTTTGTGTTTTTATCATTACACTGTGTTAAGTAATGCTTACAACATAAACTCAGCAGGCTTCTTCTGAGCTAGAACTCACAATGTTTTCCCTGCAAACAATGTATTTACAAATGTGTTTATTAACTTACACAGCAATCTCACAATAACTAGTAAAGATTAAAGGGGTGCACTCCTAGTATAATTGTTTGCAACGCTTCAAGGGAAATACATATTGCCATGGTGATGAAGCTCTAAATACTCAACAAAACCTAAAATTTCAAAGTTAAAAAAAAGGCAAAGAAATAAATACCAAAGAAAAGATTAATTGTAGCTTAAATACAAAACTAAATTGCTAGTTAACTTATTTATATTGATCTAATAAAAAGCAAAAACAGCTTGAAAGACCCAACATTTTAAAAATGCTAAAAAATAAGGCATAAATCTGCATTATAGTCATTTTTATTTCCATTCTCTCCTTTCCCTCTTAATGCATGCTTTCTCTGATCAGCCTCTAGGAGCTTGCAAGGAAATTATTTCCATATTCAAATTTGACCTCAAATGTCCAGAGCAGAGGGGTATTTGCCTTTCTGTGAGGGTTCTTTTGTTGGTAAACTTTATATATCATTATTTCTACAGCAGTTTTCCTCATGTCAATTTATATTTTTCTGCTGATTTTAAAGGAAACTGATTTTTACAATGCCTTGTCTTCATAGCATTTTTTTTTTTTTTTTTAAGAAAAGAAACCCAAGTGAATCTACTGCTTTAAAAGGTGTTGATTTTTTTTTTAAAGACACTACTTTGACAATTCAAAAACTTGGGGAGAACTGTTTGAACTTTTATAAATTCTCCATGATGAAATAAATATTGAAAAACAGTTCTGACATACTTGGATACTCTTCTTTCCCAGAGTGTATAAAAGCTCATGTGAAAGGAAAGGATTACTTGCTCTGTTCAGAAATGTTTTATGCTCCTTTACCTGTAAGCACTAAGTAAATTCATTAGGACTCATTTTGAAGACACAAAAGAACCAGTTCCTCATTCAAACAGTGCCCATCATGACAGCAATAGCTGAGTTCTGACCTCAAAGAAGGTCTATCAGTTTATATCAGTGCTGGGGAATAATTTTGGACAGTGTGGCTCATGGCCTGGAGCTAATGGCATCTGTAAAACCAAAGATAATTCCAAAGGGCTTGGCTGGACCTGTTTGCCACCTCTTGTTTGTTTAGGGAGGGTATGAACAGGAAAAGGAGAAGGCAGAGACAAGAAAAACTGGGAGACAGAAAGAAGTTAGGCAAATGCAGCTGTGAACACATTGCTCCTTAACAAGCCACATTTACACTGCTGAGATTTTCTTCATTTTAAAGTACATCATCATAACATTAAAAAGGGAAAAAATGTTAAGAAAATGTATCTAATCCTGAAAGTTATCACGAATATGCTGAATTGTTTGGCTTTTTAAAAATATAAATAATGAAGACACTGACTTTTTTGTGCTTGTGAAGCTAATAGATCATCTCCACGAAACAGGCAGCAATGATGAATTGCAATACGTTATTACTGAAGGGAAAAGGTTCAAGCCAATATTCACACTGCAGTCAATGAAAGAATATGGGGGCCAAAGCAGTGAGCTTCCGCAGAAGGGTTGAAGATGCCAGGGGAAGATTAGCAGGAACAGCCTCCTTCACTAACTGGTTGCTCCTGAGGCTTTTCCAGTTTTATGTCAATCACTGAAATAAAAGTTAAGGAGTCATATACAGCGAAGTACAGTTCTAACTCAAGTGAACTCTGACATCTCTGGCAAGCTCTTTATATTTGACTTTAGAAACTATTCAATCATTATTT